TAGACTTTCCTCCTAAAAACCAAGAGCACAGATGGATCAGTCAAGTCAGCAAAAGTTATTTGCTTTTGGTACTGTTCATGGATTTGTTTTGTAATGAACTTGGGAATGACTAACTACATCTGATATAAGATGCAAAACAAATTAAGTCTCTCTGGCTCTTGAGTATTTTTCTTGGTCTATAATCCCCACCACAAAAAGCCTTAGAAAGTCTGATTAAGTTGTTGCCCCTCTTTCAAATCTCCTTCCAAATGCATTGAATATAAATAACAGATGCAAGATGAGCTCTCAAACAACCAGAAAGTCACATTTGCTCACTCAGTGTCATAGTTCTGTGGTGTTCTGAAATGGAAGTTAGTCTAATTCCAGGAGCATCTCAAGTGGATGATGTTCTTTTCAGGTCTGTCACTTTCTGAGCCTCTGTTATTGATAAATACAAGGCCCTTTAGTGCTTATATCCTGTTCATAGGAAAGGAAGCTTTAGCATTACTGAAATTATGTTAGTCCAGAATAACCTGATGTTTCTGGTAGCTTTTAAACAGAGACCTGCAGAACAGCAGCAGTAACAGCTTTAGTCTTGTGTAGACCCTGCCTGAGTTTAGATCAAAACACTGTGATATGATTTCAGAGCAAAAATCTGTATTGCAAAGAGCTTGTGATGCCAAACAGGCCCAGATTCGTAGAATGGTTTTGGTTGGGGGTGACTTGAAAGATTATAGAATTCCAGAAKATTCTGAGTTGGCAGAGACCCACAAGGACTATCAAGTCCATCTCTAAAGAGACTCAGCCATACAGAGATCAAACTCATGGCCTTGGCGTTATTGGCAGCAGGCTGTGACCTACTGAGCTCATCTCASGGTCAAGATCATCTCATTCCAACCCCCTTGCCAAGAGCGGGACACCTTCCACTGGATCAGGATGCTCAAYGTCCAATCCAGCCTGGCCTTGGACATGGTCAGGGAGGGAGTATCCGCAAGTTCTCTGGCAAACCTGTGCTGGTGTCTGTTAGAGTGAAGAATTTCTTYCTAATATCTAACAAAAATGTATTCTTTTTTCGCTTAAAGTCATTCCACCCTCTCATATCATTACAAGACCTTGTAAAAATTCACTTCCAGCTTCCTAAACCTCTTCAGGTGTTGAAGGGCCCCAGTAAGGTTTCCCCAAAGTCTCCTCTCCTCTCTGGACTCTTTCCCACAAATCCATGTCACTGTTGTTCTGAGAGCCCAGAGCTGGACACAATCCTGCAGATGGGGGTCTAATGAGAGTGGAGTACGGGGCAAGAGTCACCTGCTGACCATCCTGCTTTTGATGCAGCCCAGAATATGATTTGCTTTCTCGTCTGCAAGAAGACTCAYTTTCCCATAAAGCAGAAAACAACAGAAAACAAGTAGAAAACAATGGAAAACATGTAGAACATGGTTGCTTTTGCCTTTCTAATATCTCCAGAAAACCATCACAACAATTCTTCTTATTCAAAGCGTGCCTTTAACTCAGCATTTGCCTCTTCTTTTTAATTTTTGTTTTTGTATTTGACTTTTCCCTTCCCTAACTAAAGAGTTAGTCATGAAAATGGGGGTTTTCAGGATAAATAATTGTCTATTTTATGTACAGATATGCCTTTGATAGAATTATTACATCCTGTTTCAGAATCAGGGGTGGGATTTGCATTGTGTTTGTATCTGTTGAAGAGCTCTGGAAGTTGTACATTACCGATAAGAATTATTTGTAAAGAAATCTTGTGAAGAAATACTTGCATGAYTGTGAGCAATTGCTTTTCAAGCTAGAGCAAGCATCCAAAGTTTGTGCTTAGCAGTATGTGAAAGAATACATAGCAGACTGCAAAATGAGACCAATTCTGAGTCAATTCAGAAATGAGAAACATTGAWAAGATCAGCATCTATGCTTAATGATGCCGTTGTCCTGTTTATGAGATCTTTGGCCTAAGAAAATAGAATTTTCAGAGAAAATGAAAAATCTGATGATTTTTTGGTTTATGAGGGATGTGATGGTTGATAGTCTGACATTAAAAAAAGTATCTAAAATTAAATTCTGAAGAAAATCTACCATATTTCTGTGAAATGACATCCCTTTGAACCTGCTGTGACTGGGATTTTGGGTCTGAATGGTAATCCATTTCCCTTGTACTCCCTAGGCATCCACCATTTTTGGACATGTGATGCTAGAGGGGACATCCCCTCCTGTACCCTTCAGTATCTGTTTAGRGATGTCCTGTCCATGAATTTGTCCTTGAGCCTGAACTGTCTGGAATTTAATCCTTTTGGTATTGTGGTTCAAGGRGTGAAGTTGTTCAGTGTTTGCCCATCTGAGTGCTATTCTGATTTTTGGTTTCTGATGACCAAGTAGGATAACAAGTGCTCATAATAACTTCTGCTTTAGT